TGGAACATGCTATTTAAAGTGCAGGAGAAGAAAGAACTTGTTAACCAAAAACACTCAATCTGATAAAAATGGTGCTTCAAGAAAAAAGGCAAAATTAAGACATTTTCCAACAAAAGCTAAGAGAACTTGTTACCAGTAGACCCATCCAAAAGGCACTCTGGTAGTTTAGCAGTAAGGAATTGCACTATCAACAAAAACATACACAGTTCTCTGAAAATAAGTTTCCATATGTACAGCATTTTCCACTTTCTGATTCCATCCATTAAGCTAGCCAATAACCCACCATCCTAGAAAGACTGTTCTCATAACTGAGTAAATGGTATAATCTAAACACAGCAAAGTAACAAGAAACAAATTTATTTTTAAAAAGCAGAAGCTTTGCTGGAGAAGAAGGGGTAATCTCCTGCTACGCCAGTTGGATCCAATTTGACAGTACACCAAAACCAAACAAACCAAAAAAACCCAAAGGTACACAGTTCAAATCCACCAGATACTCCTTGGGAGAAGGAGGGACAATCTCTTCCCATGGGATTTACTAACTCTGAATAGGGTCAGCTATGGATCGGTTCTAACTCTGTAGACACAACAACAACAGACATACCCTGGGTCCCTGGATGGTGCAAAGGATTATTTCCTACCCAAAGCTGGCTCACAAGAAGGGCCTCATGATCAATTCCTAAAATGTCAGCCTCTGAAAACCTGATGACACATATGGGGTCACAATGAGTCAGAATCAACTCCACAGCAACCAGTCTGATTTTAAATAAATGCTAAATGGAAAGCAAATTTAGGAAGGCAGGGAAGTCATCATGAAAAGTCATTTCTGCCAGACTGAAGGGGTTTTTTAGCTGATGAATCTTTAAGTTTTCTGTAATTTGCTCTTGTACAAAGCCTGAGGTCTTTGTTTTCTACCACAGAGTGGAACGTCAAAACTATTGCGTTAATTAATGATTTGACAGTACACACACACAAAAACAGTAATCAAAACTTTTTAAAATTTTTTAAAAAACTATTTCTTTAATTAAGTCACATATTCTTCAATAATTCCAAATTACACTGTTATATATTAAGCACAGATCCCTGTATTTTATAGAATGCCTACAAAACCACAAAACAAAATTACTTATTTTCCCAATTATGTTAAGGAAAAATATTTGGGGAGGAAAAAAATCAAGAGGACTTTTAAAGAAGGAAAGAGATAATCAAAGAAGTCTTTACAGTTAAATAGTTAATAAATACATCATTAAGTTTAAAATTTTTTAAGAATACATTTGCTATTTCAAAAAAAGTCAATCCGTTATATCACCAGGAAGACAACAAAGACTTGCTTAACCCAGCCCCAAATACTCCATTAGCCATTATCACCAGAAAGTATGCTAGTTTCCAAGATGTATACCACTGAGCAATCTGTAAAAACCAAAAACACTTAGCTCTGTACAGATCCTACAGTTTGTGAGGGAAGTCTTATCCCTCGATTAAATTTTTAAAAACTGCTACGGAAAAGGTGTTACCTGGGAGCTCTGGTGACCTAGTGGCAAGACGCTGCACTGCAATCCCAGAGGAACATGGTTCGAATCCACCAGATGCTCTGCCGGAGGAGGCACAATATCCTCCTGTACCAGTCAGATCTGATTTGACGCTACACACACACAAAATAATAAAAAATTTTTAAAAAAAAGGTGTTACCTGAGTGATTTGTTCCGTAGAGATACTGCAAGCACTCTCAGATGTTGAACACTGGGCAGAGGTGGAAAGTGATGACATTTTGGCAGTGAAGAAATTGCAGCCTATTGATAAAACTAAAAGGAGAAAAAGAATTCACAAATTAAACTCTAAACTCTTAAGCAAATGCAACAGACTCATGAGATTTTATATATATATACTTTATGGATCCCTTTCTAGTTCAGAGGCTTCCAAACACTACAGTCTTAAACTAAGAGTACCAAGGATCTAAGCTTCTTTCAACTAAGCTGGAAACAAAACAGGTTTGGGCATGTTCCAACTCCACACTGACATGAATATATATTTAGGCTAAAAGTCCAATTTACACTCTTGACTTCACTGAGGAGTCTGTTTTTTATCTTGAGTATCTAGCTCCTCCTCCTCTTCTCTTGGACTGCCTTTAAGATTATCTCTCTAGAAGATAGGTATAAAGCTGGAGGATTACCAAGATAATAGAGAACCCAAGATTACATCAAGGAAAACTTCAACATGTTCGAACATGTTTTGGAAAGTGGGCAGAGGAAAGTGAGTCAAAATTTTCATTATCAATGAAACTCATTTTTAAATTGGTACAAATTCAGAAAAAGCACATGAACCAGATACCTACAAAATGGGTTAAATCCAAAAGTTTATCATCGGGGGAAATACAACACAGATCAGTAACAAAGAACATTGTTGGATTCAACAACCTATTGTGACCCTGTCCTGAATCATCCTCATGACTGATCTCTGATGCCTTTCAACAGTAGTGCTGATGAAGAATTCTAAATATTTCATGGATGGTGAAAAGAATAAACAAGTCTGTCTTGGGAGACCAGGGTGCTCCTTAGAGGCAAGGATGGTGAAACTTCGCCTCACATACTTGTCTGTGTTGTCAGGAGGAGCTATACCTCGGAGAAATCACACTGGGAGAAGTGGAAGACCAAGAGGAAGACCCTCAACCAGTAGGACTGACACTAATAATGGGCTCAAGCACATCTGAGACACAAAGAATATGGTTTAATTAATGTTTTTAACTTCTCTTTTAAATAAGTGATAAGAAATTAAAAAAATCAACTTGGCCTGAAGTTATCATCAAGTCTTTTATTTCTAAAATTTTTAAATTTTAATTTAAAATTAAATTTTTAATTTTAAAATTTTTTAAATGTCATTTTTAAATAGCATGATAGTGAAATAAATTTATGAGTATCATACCTCATCAAGGAAATGGTGCTAGATTACCAACATAGAGACTGGCTGAAGTTCACAAGATTATTCACTCTTTTGAGAAGGCTAATTATTGTTGTTAGGTGCCATAGTTCGTCCCTCCCTGAACCAGCTTCCTGGCTAAAAAATGGGAAACAGAGTACAAACACAATTTACGATTTTAAGTGGGCTGGATTTTATAAATATAAAATTAATCCAGGTCCCCCAAACCTATCAGTCCTGATGTTAAGTTTTCCTCTACTCACTTTCTAACATGTTCCAACATGTTGAAGTCTTCCTTGATGTATGGAATCTTGGTAATCCCCTCTGCTTTGTACCTATCTTCTAGAGAGAGAAACAGCATCACGTGGGTGGTGACTCACAGTGACTCTGTACAATAGAAAGAAGCAAAGCTGGCCTGCTCCTGCACCACGCTCCTGCACCAGTCACAACCCTATTGTGTGTTTGACCTATTATTTGAGCCACTGGGTCAATCCTTGCGTGTCCATGACCCTCTACTTCAACAAACATGATTATCTTTCTCCACAAAATGGACCCTCCTGACAGCACTCCCCAGTATGCGAGATAAACTCTCATCAAACTAGTCTTCTCCATTTTAATAAATGGCAACTCCAGCTGTTCATCAATAATAGGAAAGAGAAAGA